TTGAACTCATCCATGGTGAGGGGGGGGAGCCAGCCATCAGCAGGGTGATTGTGCATTGCATGGCCCATGCCCCTGCAGGTCCTCCTTTCATGTAGGACAACATGAACAGGATCTGGGAGAGGGCAGTGGGGAACTCAGCCATGCGAACATGGAAGTAAATCCTGCACTCGGCCTTAAAATGGTCGAGGTCCTCGCTAGCTCCTGAGAAGGGAGTGGGGGGGCGACCTTGGGTGGTTTGGGTCTGGGTGCAGGTGCGGGTGCAGGGGTAGGCATGGGGGCAGGTGTCGGTGCAGGTGCAGGTGGGGGGTGGTTGCGGGCTTGGCTCTCCACAATGGCTTGGAGCTCTTGGAAGCGAGCCAGCAGTTCTTCATACTGCTCTTCTGACACCATGGCTGGGGAGGCAGGGGAGATGGGGGAGGCGGGGGAGATGAGGTTGAAACCTTCTTCTGCTGTCAGGGACATGTCCGGGGTAGAGGGGGGACGGATGTATCGCCTGGCAGAAGGGCCCTCACAGGGTGCGAACCAGGCATGCGTACTGGCAGGTCCGGGAAGGGACAGCAGTCCCTGGCCACTTAGACTGAAGTGGAGAATGTGAGAAGAAGGTTACTTCTTTGGTTCCCACTTCAGGTACATTTATGTACATGCGGCTTGAGTCACATGACGAGTGCCACGTCACCCTCGGAGACAGCCACAGGCATCCGGGTATCCCCATGGGGGATCCCGAGAGCATCTGCTGCATGCACGCATGCTGGGCACAGCGGGAAGCCGTCCAGGGTGTGTGGGCTGGATGGGTCAATAGTACATTGATACAAAGGAAGGTGGTCCATGTAGATAGAAGGAAATAAACAAGAAAAGGAAGATGAGAGGAATGAGATAAAGAAAGGGGAAGAAAGAGAGAAAGGAAGGGGAGGAGAGACAGAGGAAGGAGTAAGGAGGAGGGAGAGGGTTGGACAGCGGGGAGTGGGTGTGGTGTGGCCGGGTGGGTCTGCATCAGCAAACTTGGTAGGGAGCTCTCAGAGCTCTCAGAGCTCACAGAGCTCACAGAGCTCTGTGAGCAAATTGAGTCTTTTTGCTGTGCACCCTCTACACATTGGGTGGAGAAAATTAAATGTTTGAATGATTTTGTTCTCCTAAGGATGCAGAAGTGCAAAGATAATATGTATATACATTTTTGGAAATGCATATTAAATGGCCAGCATCATTACTTGAAAAGCTCTATGAGCTCATAGAGCTTTTTGTTTTTAAATAATGGATGGTCTTCATATCTCCATGAAATCTGCTTAGTTATTTTGGCACCAGTAGTGCAAAGATAATATGGATATATGTGTGTGTAAAATGGCCATTGTCATTGCTCTGAAAGCTCATATACCTTTCATGTTTACTAAAATCAGCACCTTATTTGTTTATTGCTATTTACAAAATATGAGGAAAACTCTGAAATTCAAAAATTTGCACTTTATCTTTCATCTCATTTCTTGCTCAAAACTCAACCAATTTTGATGATTCTATGTGAATTGGAAAGCACCAAAGTGTGGCAATGTAACCATGCATGTTATGTAGGGTATAAATCAGTTTTAAAAAAGTGTTCCAACTGAAGTAAATTAAAAATACCACCCAATAAAGCAAACAAAAAGCTGATGTATTCTTCAGATATCATCCAAGCCTTTGACACCAAATTTCCCGTGGTCAAAAAGCCATGGTTATTTGGCTCACCAAAACATGGTGGGAGACTTTTCTAACACTGAAACATGCATTGTTACATTGCCCCACTTTGGCACTTTCCAATACACATTGAATTATCAAAAAAGTGATTTAATTTCTTTTCCAATTATTCCTAATTTCCTGAAATATCTCTCCCTAACTTATCCCAAATTTTCTGATTTTCCCCCTAATTTCCCCTGATTTTTTGGACATTCTCCATTTTTAGAAAGTCCCCCATTTTCTGAATTTTCCTTAATTTTCCCTGACTTTTTAGAAACCCCCCAGTTCCCCCTCATTTTCCTCCCATTTTCCCCTTCATCCCCCCCCTCAATTTCCCCCCCATCCCCCCCTTCGATTTTCCCCTCATTCCCCCCCCATTCCCCCCTCCCAATTTCCCCCTTCAATTTCCCCCTCATTCCCCCCCCATTTCCCCCTCGATTTTTCCCTCATTCCCCACCTCATTCCCCCCCCCCAATTCCCACCTCAATTTCCCCCCCATTTCTCCCCCATTCCCCCCTCCAAATTTCCCCTCATTCCCCCCCCCCCCTCAATTTTCCCCTCAATTCCCTCCTCCATTTTCCCCCCATTCCCCCCATTCTCCCCTCCAAATTTCCCCCTTCAAATTTCCCCTCATTCCCCCCCCCATTTCCCCCTTTCAATTTTCCCCTCATTTCCCCCCCATTCCCCCTCCAAATTTCCCCCCATTCCCCCCTTCAAATTTCCCTTCATTCCCCTCCTCATTCCCCTCCTCATTCCCTCCTCATTCCCCCCTCATTCCCCCCTCATTCCCCCCTCATTCCCCCCCCCCCAATTCCCTCCTCAATTTCCCCCCATTCCCCCCCTCAAATTTCCCCTCATTTTCCCCCCCATTTCTCCACTCATTTTCCCGCATTTTCCTTGAGTAATTTCAGATTAACTATATATGTATATCCCTAAATTTGGTCTATATATTAATTTGGCTATATACCCTTGGTGTGTAGTGCTGCATTGGGGCTGAAAGTTAAGCTTGGTTTGTTCAGTTTCCTGCATGGTAGGGACTTGGCTGTGACTCATCACATGATGCCAGAGTCAATGCTCTTAAATTTTAATTTTTGATATTGGATAAATTAAATACTCAGGGAGCTCATATAGATAATAGTGCCCTGTGTGCAAATATAGCTCTATGAGCTTTGACTACTTTGGGGAGCTCTGAGAGAAGGGGACCTGCAATTTCAAAGTACTGAAACTCTGAGAGCTCTATGAGCTCTATGAGCTCTCAGGCCTCTGCATCCAGGTTTGCTGATGTGGGTGGACCCAGGTCAGGTGGGTGTGCCCTGACAGTTTTCTAGCTGGCGTGCTACAGCCAGTTTGATTTTGTAATTTATGTCGTCGTGGTCGACGACTGACATTGGGCCCATCCTTATGGTCCCAACGTTGACTTCCTCACCCTCTGAGTCAGGTGAGTATTGAGGTCCTTCGTATGGGTCCTCTACTTCGAAGCTTGATGCTTTGGAGTTACCAGAGTTGTTCTCTGGTTTCTCATCTGATGAGCCTTTCGACTCTTCATCCATTGAGGTCGCGATCTCCATGGCAGCTATGCGCCTTGGTTTTTCATCGCTTGTTACATTGTGTCTTGGGCAATCTTTCGTTTGCCCTATTTTGCCGCATTTGCCGCAAATTGGAATTGACTTTAAGTCAGTTTTCCTCGAGTTTTTTGAGGATGTATCCTCTTTCCATTTGGGTTTCAGCTCTTCAGCCTTCTTTCCTGATGGGAGGGCTCTACTGCAGCTTGTGGTTGCTGTGGTAGTTGTTCGGGTATAGTAACCTGATTTGTAGGCTGAAGACATCTTCAGCCCGTCGATTATCTCGTCTACACAAGATATTGCTTTTAACATCTCCTTGTTTGAGGAGAAGTCTGCTCTGATTCTATCATGAGCAATCATTTCCCTCTTCCATTCGAGGGGAATGTAGTTTAGGAACCTGGTGTTGAAGGACGCCTGGTCTGGCGGTGTCACCATCTGGGACACTGCTTTGGACAGTTCTAGGTAGAACTGTTTTAGGCCTTTTTCTGCTTCATATTTCACGTTGCGGTACTTCTTTGTTGCGTTCAGCGTGGCAGAGGCTTTAATGAAAGTTCTCATCAATATGTTGAGAACTTGCGTATCTTCGCGCCTTTTCAGGCTTTCAGCCTGAGAAGAAGTTGGTCTTCGCTTTCCATCCTCCATTCGGACGGAACCTGGAACAAGTCCAGTAGTTTTTCGGATAGTTGATGCAGGGGCTCTTCCCTTTGTTTCCCTTTGTCTGCCTTTGGGGCTTGACTTGGGGGCGTGAGGGGGGACTCCAGGGGATAGTTGGGCCCTGGAGTTTCCTGTGACTCTATCCGATCAGCTTTTTGGGCTGATCGTTTGGCGCTTACATGTTTATCGCGCAAGTCGATCACCTCGTGAGGTGAGGGATCTTCCCCAGTTTGGGTTAGATCGGTATGTCATGGAGTTCTGGGGGTATTAGGCCCCGCACTTACTCCACATAAGTTTCTAAAACCTTCAGGGGCCAGCCCTGAGGTGGTTGCTAATGCCGGATTGTGTTGATCCTCATTGTCATCTGACAACGGCTTTTGTTTTGAATCTCCCATGATGGGAGATTGCAGTTTCTTGATAAACCGCTCGTTTCTTTTTAGTGTCGCTGCAGATGTGACTTTGCCCTTGCGGGCGTGTTTAGGCACCATACATGCTACTGAGTCAGATGTTAAGAGTAGATAGTTGTTGTGGGTTGTGTTGTAAAACACACCTCATACACTTAAAAAAGTGTGAGGTCTTAGGGTAGCTCAGCACACAAGGCCGTAAGTGATACAAGTATGTGTATTTTATGGTGGTGTGTAAGCAGTTGCCCGGAGGTTCCCACTTACCCACGTGACTATATGTATCTAATTTACATGTGACTCGGGGTTCGGGGCTATTGCCCTGACAGCCCTCCACCACAGAGACATTCCTTCATCTCGATCTGGTCTCTGACAGTTAGAACCCATTAGTCCATTAAACCCTGTAACCCAAGTCATCAGTAATACTCAGTCAGCTAACCCGTAACTCCATTAGCTCTGCTCCACCCAGCCCCTGCCATTTACAGGCCTGCCTTCTAGACTCCCTCTGTAACTATATATACCTAACCTGTAGATACATTACACCTTAGTGATAAAATCAACTAGAGTTTTCCCCCCTCTTCTAGAGTTCCCTCCAGTCTGTAAATTAGGGCACTGACATGTTACTAGGCACAGCGCTCCTGGCATAAGTCGCTGAGGCTGAAGCCCTCTGCCCACAGGGACATCATTGTTTTCCCTGAACCTGGTCTCTGACAATAATGTTCTTTAGTGTTTGCTGTGTAGGGACTTTTGTCACTTGTTTGAGAAGCTTGCTTGCAATCTCCATGATGTCTTCTGCTGGTTCCTCTTCCACAACAAATCCTTCCACTGCCTCTTCCACATATTCATTACTGTCACCCACACTCTCTATGGTTGCCTCCAATGCCATTCGGTCATCATTATGAGTGGGCCTTGTTGGTTCAACGCTGTTCTCGAGCTCCTCATCTCCACTTGTGCCAGTCAGCTACAGTGCAGTCACCACTGGTTTGTGAATCTTATGTGATGTTATAACTTACATCTGGTTTGTCTGTAGTCTCTAATGTTAAAGTGTTGATATCACGGATGATCTGTTCCAAGTTTTCTTCAAACCAGTACACAAGTACACTGTGAGGCTCTTGTTTTTCCTGCTGACTTTGTGTCATATCCCAGAATCCTGACCCCACACTCTCCCACCTCACTACACCTTCCTAACAACCTCACCACCCCCTACACCATTCCTCCCCCTCTGCCCCTACTTTCTCAGCTCCAGCCTGGATTTCGGCATCTTCACCCTTAGCCACCTCCATCCCGGAAGCTCGGTCCCAAGTCAGAACCTTCGGAACCCCTGGATTGCTCTGACCTCCTGACAGACCTCTGACATCTTGTTATATACTTCTAAACCCTCCCTCTCTCCATTTCATTTAGTGGAGTTGCCCAACATTTCTTGGATATGTAATTCCATGTAAGGGGTGGTGTAGGTTTGTCAGGGGACGACTCCCGGGTCCCCATGACCCTCCCCTATGGTCCACAGCCTACTGGTGTAACCAGCCCTATCCAGGGCACAACCTACTGTGGGTAAGAAGATGAGAAGGAAGCTAACTTCTCATCTTCCCACAGTGGCCATGATATCAGGCAAACTTCTGGGGATACCCAGAAGTCACATGGGGGGGTGGGAACCGGGCCCGGAACATGCAGTGAGCAGAGCGTGCGCAGATGTGGGAAGCGCAGTGGGCAGATGCGGGTCTGGATGCGGGTCTGGGTCCGGGCTAGTCAGGGTGTGTGCCCTGACAAGGTTCCAACCCCAGTTAGCCTCAGTCCTCAGTTCGTTGAATATTAAGCTGTATAGAGCTATGATTATTCAACAATGGGGAGGGAAAAAGCTTCTTTTTCTTTTCCCAAATTCCCATGTTATTGTAATTACATTGTTTGTACATGTTTAATGCAAGACAAATGAACAATAAGATAAGACAGTAAAGGGTGGGGTTACCACTCCTTACACTCTCCTCCCTTGTGATATTAATATCACACACAAGAGGGATAACTGTCAGGGCATGGATGGTTATCTGGCCAGCCCAGACCCCTACCCAGATAGGTTGAGTACCTGTAAGTTGATATCTGCATGTGATTTGCTGTAGTTAGAATGCAGGTTGTATTCAATGCGTTATTTCTGCTATCATGTCACCCCTTACCCATTATCACCCCCTTTTCCGCATGATCTATCTTCCTATCTCATGTCGCTTCTCTATCAGCTACCATGTATTCTGTCATATCCATCCATGGCCATCGACTTCCACTACCTCCGATCTCTCTGGACTACCTCCACTCCTTCTTCACTAACCTTGGAGCTCCCGTATTCCGCAATCACCTCAGTATCCCTTGATGGTCACCACCCCCTCTTTTCAATTTATTACCTATGCCTCCCTAAGTATGGAGCCCCAAAGGCTTCTGGACAGCTCCGATGTCCGCTAGCACACTCCTGCCTCCGCTGGGCAATACACTCGCTTGCCCTGCAAGCCCACCTTTGGGCCTATCCCTCCTTTCCATTTCTGGGTTATCACCTACCATTCCGCTAACCCCGCAACCCAACTTGTTGGTAATATTCAATCAGCTAATGTTTAACCCCGTTAGCTCCACTCCGCTTGGCCCCATCATTTACAGGCCCACCCCCACTGTAACTATATATACTTGACTTGTAAATAGGTTACACCTCAGTAATAAAACCGACTAGAGTTTACCCCCCTTTTAGTTCTGGTTGCCAGTTAGTAAGTTAGGGCACAGACGTGTTACTTGGCACAGCACTCCTGGCATAAGTCACTGAGGCCGAAGCCCTCCACCACAGAGACATTCCTTTGTCTCAACCTGGTCTCTGACAGTATTTTATTACTCCCTGACTAGTACACATCTTGTATGGCACCAAAAGCCCCTCGCACTCATTTGCAACTATGCACATTAGTTCCCAACTCTGCCTCACCGTCCCCAGAACCCTCGCAGCCTGGTCCTAGTCGATTGGTGAGAAACCAAGTTGAGTTTCATAGCTTTTCTAATCTAGAAACCCCTCTCCCGTCAACTCCGATCATGCATCCCATTAGGAATCGATCACCAGTTGCAGATTCCGACTTCAGACACCACGGAACAATCCATAGACCCTGTTCACTTCTTTGGACTTGGTTCCGAGGTCCCCAATTTCATCAACCCTCCTCCTGCTAATCCTCCCATCCCCACTCTCCCAACCGCCGACAATGCCAAACCCATCCCCAACATGGCTATTGTACAACTAGCCCAAGCCATCGCCACAAGGTCCATGAGCCTGAACAGTTCAACGGAAAAGATCCCCGAGAACTCCGAGTATTTCTGGTCCAATGCAAACTGAATTTCCAGGACCGTCCCCTCACTTTTGCTAGTGACTGTGCCAAGGACATCTTCGTGCAGTCCTACCTCAAGGGAATGGCCCTCAATTGGTTCAAGCCGGATCTATTATTTGATCAAAATTCTACGCTTTGTCCACGATGGATGAATAACTATCAAGAGTTCATCAACGAACTCCAAACCAACTTCAGTCCTCACGATCCTGTGGGCGACGCTGAAGTTCAACTAATGACCCTGGAGATGAAGGATGAAGACCACATCAATAAGTATGTTGTCGAGTTCAACTGACATGCCTCTCAACTTCATGGTTACAGAGAAGCCATGCTTCGTTGTTTTTTCTATAATGGATTGCCAGAACGTATCAAGGATGATATTGCCAGAGTAGGTAAACCTTCTACACTTTCGGAACTTCACACCTTGTCACAAACTTTCGATGCATGCTATTGGGAGCGCAAATCTGAAGTGACACGTCACACGAAACCCTCCTCCTCTAATGTTTTCGACAAGTCCACCGCCACTTCTCGCTCCGACCCTGTTCCTTCCTCCTCCTCTTTCAACTCTGCTTCCGGTAGCAAGCCTCCAAAGGACAATAAGAAGTCGGAGGCCAGCCCTGCTAAACCGGACCTTTCGTCAAAACTTGGGGACAACGGCAAGCTCATGCCACAAGAGTGCAAGCGCCATCTCGATGAGAAACTTTGCATGTTCTGTGGTCAGTCTGGCCACATGGTCAAGGACTGTCCCAAGTCTTCTTCTCACGCATCTAAGGCCTGTTTGGCCCAGACTGAGGAGCAAGGATCCGCTTCCACAGAGGCAAAAAATTAGTCCGCACCCCTGTGGACTCCGCACGGACTGGGGGTTGCGATTCTTCCCTCCATGTGCTCAAAGAAGTGCGTTTAAATGTGTCTTCCATTTCCGACTTATCCTCCCTCCATATTCCTGTTTCTTTTTCTCTTTCAAATGGTCTATTTTCTCCTCTCAATGTTGACCCTTCGGTTAATGTTCTACCCATTGTAGATAGTGTTGCTGATGTACCACTCTCTCCTCCACCCCCTCCGACTACTTCCATAGATCGATCCACCTCTTTCCGTTCTCTTCTTTCTCTTCTCCTGTCTCTCCTCCTCTGTCCAATGATAGGACACACAATAAACTCTTCCACACCTATGAGAATGTACCCGCACTCATAGACTCTGGGTCTTCAGACTGCTTCATTGACAACACATTCATAAAGAAGTTGGCCTTGAAGACATATCAGATAAAACCCCTACAACTATGCCTATTCGACGGTAGCACCAACTCAATCAAAACCCATGCCATTGATATTCCCCTCCACTTCGCTTCCAGAAACATCACCCCCACAACTTTCTTTGTCACATCACTGGATGGATCATGTTCCCTAGTCCTAGGACACAACTGGCTTACCCGCTACAATCCATTGATTGACTGGGTCTCAAGCAGTATTATGTTCTGAACTTCCAAACCTACCAAGACAGCTACTCTGAGCTCTCCCCCATCGTCTCCAGCACCACTGCCATCGTCCGACATCCAACGATCTGATGTTCTGCCAGCACCCCAGTCCCAGGCCCCCACTCCTCTGTTACCATCTATCAAGTTCATCAGCCATTCCGCATTCGCAAAGGCTTGTCGACTTGAAGGATCCGTATCCTTCAGCCTAACCATCCCTTCCAAGGACAGCCACTTAAGGGCTGCCTCATCCCACACCGATTCCGTTGACCTCTCAGCTGTTCCGAAGGAGTATCACGAGTTCGTGGATGTGTTCAGTAAGAGCAAAGCCTCGACGCTGGCACCGCACCGTGAGCATGACCTGAAGATCGACCTTGAGGAAGGCACTTCACCACCCTTGGGTACTATGTACTCTCTTTCTACTTCGGAACTCGAGGCTCTCCGGGTTCATTCGTCCTGCTACTTCCGCTCATGCGGCACTGGTCCTCTTTGTCCGCAAGAAGGACGGATCCCTCCGTCTTTGCATTGACTTCCGAGGGCTGAACAAGATCACCAAAAAGGATCGCTACCCACTTCCCCACATCTCAGACCTCCTTGACACCCCTAGCCATGCCACAGTCTATACCAGACTCGACCTCCGGCATGCTTACCACCTGGTTCGCATTGCAGCAGGCGACGAATGGAAGACTTCCTTCTGCACGCGCTATGGTTCCTACGAGTGGCTTGTCATGCCATTTGGTCTCACGAATGCACCTGTGGCCTTCCAGCGATTCATCAACACAATCTTTGCCGACCTCTTGGACGTTTCTGTGGTAGTCTACCTAGACGACATCCTTACTTACTCAGGCTTCACATCAGGAGCATGTCTGAGAAGTTCTTAGGAGACTCTGCAAACACGGCCTATACGCCAATCTGAAGAAATGCGAATTTCATATGGACACTACGGAATATCTCGGATACTGCCTTTCTCCCTCTGGACTTACCATGTCCATCAAGAAGGTTAAAGCCATCCAAGATTGGCCCAAGCCCCATAAAGTCAAGGATGTCCAGTCCTTCCTTGGCTTTGCTAACTTCTATCAGCGTTTCATCCACCAATACTCCGACATTGTGGTCCCCTTGATGTGCCTTATGTGTAAAGGAGCCCCCTGGTTATTCTCTGACGACTGTTGCTCTGCTTTCAACACCTTGAAAGAAGCCTTCACTTCTGCTCCCATCCTGACACATTGGGTACCTGATGCCCCCCTCATTGTAGAAACTGATGCCTCTGATTATACGATCTCTGGAATCCTGTCCATCCATTGTAATGATGGAGAGATTCGCCCCATCACTTTCCACTCTAGAACACTCTCGGCACCGGAGCTCAGTTATGACACCCATGATAAGGAACTGCTTGCCATCCACGATGCGTTCTGATCATGGCATCACTACCTTGAAGGTTCAGGAACTCCAATCGACATCGTCACCGACCACAAGAACCTCG